GTGTGTGTGTGTGTGTGTGTGTGTGTGTGTGTGTGTGTGTGTGTGTGTGTATGTGCTCTGTCTTCTCCATCCCCAGTGAGTCGTGGAGGATGGCTGCTTATACTGAGCCAGGATTCTCTTGAGGTTTCTTCCTGTTAAAAGGGAGTTTTCCTCTCCACTGTCGCTACATGCTTGCTTAGTATGAGGATTGCTGTAAAGATCCTGACACTAGTAATTGACTCAAGGCAACCTGCTGGGTTCCTCATATAGGAAACCTTTTTCTGATTGGCTAAATGAACTGGCCTGTATTGGAATGTTTACTGTGTGAAGGTCCTTGAGACGACTCTTGTCCTGATTTGGTGCTATGTAAATAAAATTTAATTGAATTGAATTGAACTGATGGGAGGGTCATTGAAATTGTCCAACATGGTGCTGTGGGCTGCGTGGATGCTGCCCCACTCTGGTGGCACTTGGGTGGCCTCGATGGGTGGACTTCTGACGGCCATGTGTGGGGCCTTGGGAGGTCTTGACGGTAACCACAGGTTGCTGCCTGATAGCTGTTTCACCCTTGGGTGGGTTTGGGTGAGGAGATGGTGGTCGTCCCCGGATGGGGATCTCAGCTGGCCCTGGAGATGGGGTACTGGCTTGTATGCTGCCGGCACGAGCATGCAGCGGTGCCTGGCCCTGGCTCAAGGGCCTCGGGTGGAACTTGGTTCCTCCTGTACTGGCAACAACACTTCTGTTCCATCTCGGGGTAGGGGGATGTTCCGGGAGGGGGAGGACTCAACTTTGCTTGGGTGTCTATAGGGGCTTTCGGTCGTTCGAAAATTTTGTAGTTCTATAAACTTGTCAGGAACCAGCCCCCTTTTGCATGCATTCAGACAGATAGGAACTAGGAACCTTTTTCCCGCAGTTCCTAGAAACATTTTAGCTCCTACTCCGAGGCTGGGACTTTCTGTGGTTCCAATAGAACTAACGTGACGTGGGTGCTTTGTGAGCTACACGCCTTGCTTGATTTCAGCATCTTTTCTGTTACAAATCATGTTTGTTTATTTAAAATAGACTGGACTGCATCCCGGTCGCTCCTGCTGCTGCCAGCACACCTTGCCAAAACCCAACAGGTAAAGAAAACAGTCTTAATGCGTTAACAAAGGTTTCGTCTCTTCTCTTGATATAACGGAAGGAAATTATCCATTTTGGGATTACATCTCGGAGTGAAAGCCACTAATAGCGAGCGTGTGTTTTCACCAAATTAATATGAATATGAAGTCATTTAGCTTTCTTTTCAGTGAATTTCTAGTTTGTTCTTTATGTTCACACATGTGAACCACATGCACGAAAACATACAATGCAAACGTGCAGTTAAATGTCTTAAATTAAATATATTATGCATATTAATTTTATAGTGTAAGCAGTATAGAGTTGATTATCAATATTACATTTTTATGGTGGGCTGGTTTGATTAATTAATATGTGTGGTTTGAAACTTGTTACGTAGTCAATAAGTTAGTTTAGGACACCGTGTGTTACTGATAAAGGTATTTTTATAACTTGTGTTTTTTTCTGGAATGTTTATCCATCCAGCTGCGACACCAGAGCTGGATAGGAAATACTCTTGCCTGGGGCACCAAACTGGGTTGAGCTGGCCCTGTGTCGGTGGTGGAAGTGCTCTGGATAACCATGTTTGTCACGTGATTGGATTACATTTTGTTATACTTTGAACTTTCCTTTCTTTCTCTGTCCCTGAAACCCTCATTCTTGCATTTGTCACATCACAAATCGACTACAGCAGTAGCATCTATAGCTGCTTTAACATCTGGGTCAGTACAGTCGGGGTTCGATTACTTCGGTTCGGGCTTGTACGGGCAGTTTTTGTTCAGACGTTCCCAAGGACTTCTCTGAAATGTGGAAATCCCGTGCACATGATCTCTCTCCTCCAACTGAGTAGCTGTGACGCAGTGTTGTTTTTGTTAATGAAAACAATGATTAATAGATTTTGTTGACACCTATTTTTTCATAACAAAAACTCGACGCTGACGAGCTAAAAATAGCTCTTTGGTGACTAAAACATGACGAGATAAACGGGAGTTTTGGTTAACGAGCCGAGACTAGACAAAACTAAGCTGGAAATGTACATTTCTGTCGGTCTCACTGAAGTTAAAAGTAACAGAGCTGCTGCTGTCTGTCCTTTACTCAGTAGACCAGCCTCAGCAGCTGAGTGAAGCTGGCTTCCCACCCACATCACAAAGCACTAACCACTATATCAGCGTGGACTTGTGAGGGGGTTGGAAGCCAACTTCACTCAGCTCACACATCCGTAATATTAACACATTTCTTATCCGTGTGTTTCCTGAAAAAGTCATGATTTGGGGCAGATAAATGAGAGACATGACGGTTTTAACAGGTTTGATGTGAACAGGTTTAAGGTTTTAAAGTCAGGATGATTGTCTCTGCTCCCTGGTTCCTAATAACGGGCCACATTCCTGCTTTTTATCCCTACAGCATCACAGTTTAGGCCCATCTAAATGTTTATGAGCAGAACTGGCTTATTTATAATAATTCTGTGAAAACTCACAACCCTGCAGGATATGGAAACACATTACTGCATTTAAGTCGGTGGACTTTCCCACAATATACATTCAAGATGGAGGTCTGATAACTCAAATAATAAATGAAACAAACACATTTCTTTATTTCTGTATGAATTGTGTGTAGAAAACTCTGTGTAAGAGACCATTCTGTTAAGGAAAGAAAATCATACATTTCTATAGAGGAATTCTACAGAATGATGCACAGATCTGCATCAATGAACTATATACATTATTATGGTTATCAATGAAGTAAAAAACCGATACCAGTCTGGGGATTATTGTTTTACAGAATCTGGGGCAGCTGAGATTGTGTCCCATAGCCATAAAATAAATGTTGGTATAAAACTCACTGCAGTAGCTCAGAGTCTGACCTATAAATGCATTTGTTAGAGAATAATACACTGCTGTGACGAGAGCTCCGTGCAGACATGTTCTTGCTGCTCTGAAGACACACCCACGGCTCTCTTTTCCCTTTTCCACTGAGCGGGAGCTTCGTGCTACAGACAGAGATGTTTACCTAACAGCATCCAGCATGAAACTGCATCAGCTGGGAACCCCCGCTGCCTGATTCTACTCACCAATCAGAGGACGTAGGCATGAATTTCAGCCAGCCAATCAGTCTGTACTGTCACCTCAGTCCCAGTTGGACTTTAGAGGAAGAGGTCTGAAAAAATGGGTCACCTCAGAATGGAAGATGTGACCCTAATGTCATGAAGACAGCTGAGAAACGATTTGTTCTGTCACACAATGTGGCTAATCACATGCTAATCATTTTATTAACTTGGCTGATGAATGAGGGGAGTGTTAGTTCAGACATCTGAATAGGAGTTTTCAGAACCAGCAGTCGACTTGTTGACTGAGTGTTACATCTCCTCAAAGGAGAGGAGCCATGCACCCATCTGACAAACACATTTTGCTGTGCCAGTGCGACCAGCTGATTGGCTGCCTCAAAGGTCCATGCCCACATCCCTCTGTCACCATTGGTCTGGCTTTGTTTGGCTGGTCATGATCATGAGGGGCTGTGGGTGCAGCACAAAAGGCTGTTTGGTGTAACCAAACAGATGAGACTGATCAGAGATCTCCTTAGCTGCTTTTACAGGACCGTAGCGTTTGCAACACAGGATTTGCCGCAGCTCCCTGGGGAGGATTTTGGCATTTACAGTAGCAAAGCTGAAGCTAGAATAAATTGCCATCGGGCACCTCTCAAACCAAGATGGGATAAAGGGAGGTCGCTGGGCGGCCCCCCCACATGTGACTTACAGGGTCGCGCATTCAGCGTCAGACGGAAGACACGTCAGACTGATGACATTTCTTTTTCAGGACCTTTAGCTTTGATGTGACTTGCTTTTTGACCCGCTTGATGCCCCGCTCAGCCAGTGCTTTCACCACTCTGTCGAACAGCTGGCTGTCCTCACCGTCCCCGTAAAAAGGCGACTAATCTGTTCATCCGCTCGCACGGCCAAAAGCTCCATGGTCTCTGCGTGCGTCCAGTTAGCCATGTTGTAGGTGGTTGAAAGATACTAGTGAGAGGCCATGTTTATCTGTGTTTATATCCCTTCTGGCCGGCACTCGGCGCGCAGTACATGTCACTAACGCGACCACCCTCTTTAGTGGGGGGCCTCCCATATTCGCTCCAAAGGGGTTAGCGGGGCTGACATGCGTTTAGCCGTCAGAGGCGAGGGGCTCATGCAGCAATATTACTACGAGGCAAAGAGCATCAGAATCGAGTTTTATCACCTTTCCCCCTTGCTCCTTGCCGTGTTTACAAGACCCACAAATTTGGATTCATCACTCTGTAATGACGCGATGGTTTGTCTTATAAAAGTGGCTTTTGATGGCTCCTGCCTGTGTGGCAGAGGTGAGGCCAGTTGGAGGCTGATTTTAAAGTGAAAAACACTCTTATCTCCCACAACGTGTCTTAGCCTACTCCTTATGTTGCAATCCCACGAGCCGGGTCGTAACACCAAGTGTGAACAATCTTCCTGAACTGCACAGTGTCGTTAGCGCTGTTGCCTCGAGGCAATAAGGTCCTTGGTTTGACTCTCTAAGTGGGTTGGTTAGTTGGTTGGTTGGTTTCTCTCTAAGTTACCATTAGGTGTGTGTGTGTGTGTGTGTGTGTGTGTGTGTGTGTGTGTGTGTGTGTGTGTGTGTCGTTGTGTTGCCCTGTGATGGTCTGGCAAACTGTCCATGGTGTACCACGCCTGTTTGCCTGAAGACTGCTGGCGATCAGCACCCACCCCATGTGACCCTGCATGGACAGGGTTTCCATAATGGATGGATAGAACAATCTTACTGGGAGCTGCAGTCAACATGCTTGATGGTACAGGTATAAAAAAGAGCTCACCTTTTTGTTTGACACCAAGGATCTCACATTATTTTCTTTATCTACTGAAGGGCAGCAAATATTAAAGGACTGAAGTAGACGTTTACCTGGTTTGGTGTGAAGCCAGAGTTAAGAGGGACAAACAGCGTGATGTCCGACTTCCTGTGAGTCAAAACTTCAACAAGCTGCTTTCCTTCTGAGGACGAGCCACTGTGGTCCAACAGCAACTTAACAAGAGAGGAAGAAAAGCAACAACTAGCAACCAGAGTTGGGTCAGTTCAGGATTATTTACATCTTACATCCCCTACCTTCTGTCTGGAACCCTAACCAACACTTACCAGTACTTAGACACAGAAGCAAAAATGTAGTTTATAAAAATCTATGTATTACTATATTATAGTACTATTTACTATGGTTATTGTGCTGTGGTGTGGGGTAACAAATGTAAAGCCTTTGTTTATTTTGCAGAAAAGAGCAGTAAGAATTGTACACAAAGCCAATCCAAGGGATCATACTAATTCATTGTTCATTAAACCTGAATTATAAAACAAAGAGTTTGTTGTATTAAGCACATTATTAGTTTTGTACAAGGCATAAGATCAACCAATGAACTTGCAGAAGCTGTTTGTTTTAACATCTGAGGATCGGGGGACGAGAAGGAAATTCAGTTTTAAACATCAGTTGGCAAGGACTACCGTAAAACGGAGCTGCATTCAGTTTCTGGTGTTAATAATGGAATTCATGAGAGGACGAGTTAAAGACGTGTGGAAATAGTTTTCAGTTTAAGAGGTTATCTAAAAGTAGACTACGTCAAATGTATGGACTTGCTGAATGCTGGACATGGTGGAGGTTCTAAATAGGTGAAATAATCATTTAATTTGATGTTGATTTTGTTTGTAGGGTAAGTGACTGACAGACCATCGATGTGTGTATGTATATTTTATATGTGTGTATGTATATTTTATATGTGTGTGTGTATATTTTATGTGTGTATGTATATTTTATATGTGTGTGTGTATATTTTATATGTGTGTATGTATATTTTATATGTGTGTATGTATATTTTATATGTGTGTGTGTGTATTTTATATGTGTGTGTGTGTATTTTATATGTGTGTGTGTATATTTTATATGTGTGTGTGTATTTTATGTGTGTGTGTGTGTGTGTATTTTATATGTGTGTATGTGTATTTTATATGTGTGTATGTATATTTTATATGTGTGTATGTATATTTTATATGCGTGTTTGTGTGTGTGTGTATTTTACATGTGTGTGTGTATATTTCATGTGTGTGTATATTTTATATGTGTGTGTATATTTTATATGTGTGTATGTATATTTTATATGTGTGTGTGTGTATTTTATATGTCTGTGTGTATATTTTATATGTGTGTGTGTGTATTTTATATGTGTGTGTGTGTATTTTATATGTGTGTGTGTGTATTTTATATGTGTGTATGTGTATTTTATATGTGTGTATGTATATTTTATATGTGTGTATGTATATTTTATATGCGTGTTTGTGTGTGTGTGTGTATTTTACATGTGTGTGTGTATATTTTATGTGTGTGTATATTTTATATGTGTGTGTATATTTTATATGTGTGTATGTATATTTTATATGTGTGTGTGTGTATTTTATATGTGTGTGTGTATATTTTATATGTGTGTGTGTATATTTTATATGTGTGTGTGTGTATATTTTATATGTGTGTATGTATATTTTATATGTGTGTGTGTGTATTTTATATGTGTGTGTGTATATTTTATATTTGTGTGTATATTTTATATGTGTGTATGTATATTTTATATGTGTGTGTGTGTATTTTATATGTGTGTGTGTGTATTTTATATGTGTGTGTGTGTATTCTATATGTTTGTATGTGTATTTTATATGTGTGTATGTATATTTTATATGTGTGTATGTATATTTTATATGTGTGTGTGTGTATTTTACATGTGTGTGTGCATATTTTATGTGTGTGTATATTTTATATGTGTGTAAGTATATTTTATATGTGTGTGTGTATTTTATATGTGTGTGTGTATATTTTATATGTGTGTGTGTATTTTTTATGTGTGCGTGTATATTTTATATGTGTGTGTGTATATTTTATATGTGTGTGTATTTTATATGTGTGTGTGTATATTTTATATGTGTGTATGTAGATTTTATATGTGCGTGTGTATATTTTATGTGTGTATATTTTATATGTGTGTGTGTATATTTTATATGTGTGTATGTATATTTTATATGTGTGTGTGTGTGTATTTTATATGTGTATGTGTGTATATTTTATATGTGTGTGTATATTTTATATGTGTGTGTGTATATTTTATATGTGTGTGTGTGTATTTTATATGTGTGTGTATATTTTATATGTGTGTGTGTGTGTGTGTATTTTATATGTGTGTGTGTGTGTGTGTATTTTATATGTGTGTGTGTGTATATTTTATATGTGTGTGTATATTTTATATGTGTGTGTGTATTTTATATGTGTGTGTGTGTGTATTTTATATGTGTGTATGTTTTATATGTGTGTGTGTATTTTTATGTGTGCGTGTATTTTTATATGTGTGTGTGTATATTTTATATGTGTGTGTGTGTGTATTTTTATATATGTGTGTGTATGTTTTATATGTGTGTGTATTTTATATGTGTGTGTGTGTGTGTGTATTTTATATGTGTGTGTATTTTATATGTGTGTGTGTATTTTATATGTGTGTGTATATTTTATATGTGTGTGTGTGTATATTTTATATGTGTGTGTGTATATTTTATATGTGTGTGTATATTTTATATGTGTGTGTGTATTTTATATGTGTGTGTGTGTGTATTTTATATGTGTGTATGTTTTATATGTGTGTGTGTATTTTTATGTGTGCGTGTATTTTTATATGTGTGTGTGTATTTTTATATATGTGTGTGTATGTTTTATATGTGTGTATTTTATATGTGTTTGTATATTTTATATGTTTAAGAATGGAGCTGGTATTATGGGATGTTCTTCCTGCTCTTTTTCAATCATTGGCATTCTGTAACATCAGTCTCCTTTGATGGTTTTGGTTTGGTTTGGTTTAGTTCGGTGTCATAAGAAAGATGTGAAGTCTGGGATTACAAGAATAATCTGGCTGAATTTATGATGTTTGATTAGTTATCAAATAAATCTTAGCCCATCCAACGGCAGTGTGCAGATCAACGGTACCCGTGTGGTGAGAGTTCTCAGGAGATCCGGCAAGCAAAGCCGTCTGGGCAAGGCGTATGATTAGGCTTCTGGAGGTTGTAGTTCCTTTAAATACGCACGGCTGGTCAAGAGATACTCTCCGGACGTCCGCTGGCGGCTGGTTCTTATGTCTGATGAAGTCGTTGCACTTTAACAATGAACTGGTTCAATGCCGCTAAAAGTGTTCTAATGTTCTCTCTGCTGGACCTCACATCTCTTTCAGCATTTTGGCAGGAACTGCATTACAAAGTCTTCCCTTTTAAGGATCCGTGTTGGACCAATCAGAGGCCAGAAAAAGTAGGAGGAGTTAACAAAGTTCTTTGATAATCCAAAGGCAACTGGACTTCTTCATTTGGATTACCATGACCTGGATGACTGAGAACCTTCACCAGCATAAAGCACCCACCCCCATTACATCCGTCCTCAGTGACTTATTAGGACATCTTTCTCTTCCTGTGTGGTCCAAGTATGATATAACTGTCATTGTTAATATACTGATATTAAAATGCGACATGACTGATAATAAAATCAAAGTAGATTTGTTTGGTGTATTTAAGATCTGAAATAAAGTGTTTAAACATCAAAGGTTATTTACGTAGATTCATCATTACTGTCAAGCGACCAAGTCTTATTAAATTCCCTGTGGATACAACATCTGTTGGTCTGTGATTGTTATGATCTGTAAAGTGAGAAAGTCGTGTATAAAACAGAGAATGATCCTTTTATTAAAGTACAAAGTTCCGTTTCTGACAGAGACTTGTGACTTGCAGGAACACATAAACAGGAATTCGTTATGGCTGTTCAACACATTTTCACTCCCAGCGCGTCAAAAACAAACGTTTGGTCAGCCACCCTCCACGTCAGACCCCAGACGCCAAACGTGCTCTTTTTCGTTACTTATGTGCGAAAAGGGTTTTTTCCCTTTTCTAACTGCAGATCCCAATGCAGCGTAAAACTGAAGCGATGGGATGTCCGCTGATGCGGCACCGAACCACCTCGTTTAACCACACCTAAACCTTAACGTTTCACTATTTATAACCTTCCCCTCTCCCTCATCCTAACCTTAACCCTCTTGCTACCTAAAACGTTACTCTCACTGTGACCAAGCGTTTGTTTCCCCTGCATTCTGACTCTGACAGTCAGAGTCTGACTGTCAATTTTCGTATTTGCCGCCCAAGGGGAACGTTAGAACATACCATCTGGCGAGGGGGAGGTTACACATACCCTCTACTTTTAACCTCCACCATGGTAGTTGAAACCTCCCCCTCGCGTTGGCTCGGTCCAAACTCGACCAATCACGAGGCGGCTCCTGCCGTTCACTTCATAGAGCCGGCTTTTAGAGCGACCATCACTAACGTGTTCGGGATGGGGTGAGGGGAAGGTTAAATAAGAGGATAAGGTTAAGGTGAGGTACAATGAGCTTGTTTGGTGCCCTGGCTGCGGACATCCCATCACGTCAGTGTAACGCTGCATTGGGATCTGCAGTCAAATAAGGGAAAACCCCTTTTCGCACATAAGTAACGAAAAAGGGCACTTTTGGCGTCTGGGTCTGACGTGGAGGGTGGCTGACCAAGCGTTTGTTTTTGACGCGCTGGGAGTGAGAACGTGTTGGACTGTTCCTCCCACATGGCGAGATCGTAAGCGGAGCATGTTCTGGTTTGGAAAGCACGGCTTCCCGAGCAAACACAGACATGCCTGTGGCCAGTGTCATGACCTATGCATTGCATGGCTTTCTTACACTACACTTCTAAAGTTCTGGTATCAGGCGAGGCGTCGCATCTGAAGCTATGCCGCTCCACCTGTGAGAGTAAAACTGTAAGGCGTGTCTTTGGCACTCAGATATCAGTTCTATTTGCTTTACAGCCGGACAGGACACGGGGAAAGGGTCTGTATTTGTATAGCGTCCTCTAGGGTTCTACAGCCCCCCAAGGTGCTTCACAATACAACCAGTCATTCACACGCTGGTGGGGACGAGCTACTCTTTAGATATGCATCCATTCTTTGAGATGGAAAACAAAAATTGAAACATCAGGACATAGAGATGTTCAAAAGGCTTAACGCCTTGCCAAACTTCTTCTAGTATTCATCTTCTGAAATAGTTTTTGTATTTGCTATTCATCATCAGGATTCCATCCATCACCTGGTGCTGAAAACTGAGGAAATGCTGAATAAACCAGTAGAACCAGAACGTCTGGATGCACAATGATCAAGATACTGATCCAATTCCTAAATAATAGGCTGTGATGCTCACCTTGTAAAAGATGGAGAAGTCGTTGTTGGCAGCTAGGACACTGGTCAGGACGCTGTTACAGAAGTCCCCGTTTCCAACGTAACCATCAGGACATGAGCACGAGACATCTGGACAGAAAGACCAGTGTTAAATCCCATTTCCGTATAATCTCTGCAGAAAGGTGATGTTCCAAATGGTTAGGGCTAGGCACTGTGTTGTTGACCCCCTGGGGGTTGCACAACCTCATAAGGTGCTGTATAACACAGGCAATTTACCATTCACCACACCACCCATTCCAACCTGCTTAAACACCCTTCTCCACCTCATCTCCACCCTCTTCGTTGCTTTGGACCGAGGCCGGGCAATAAAACAATAGCAAAAACTAACTTCCTCTCGATACTCACATGAGAATGTGTTGATAGTACTTGGATAAAAGGAACAGAGCTACACAGCTCAGTAGCAGCCATAACGGTGATGTTAGTGCAGCTGTAGCCTGCTGCGGGTTTCACGGCTGATAGAAAGCGAGGAGACGAGTTCCTCAGAACAAAAAAACGAATGGCATCGTTGAAACCGAACAGTTCAGCTTCGTGGATGTAGTTTTGCTAGTCACTCATATGCTGAGCGCAGGTTTTGACATAGTCGGGGGAAACCATCGATCGGTCTGAGTTCATGAAGCAGCTCCACCCGTCGGAGCAGCGGGACATAAAACTTTATAGAGCGAGTGGGTTTGAGAAGATTTACTTAAGCACCCTCAGTGCTTGAAGTGGAAAAGCGTGCTTTTGAGGCAAAGATCTCACACGGGTGCCTCGCCCATGGCTGTGGTGTTTGATGGTTCAGAGTGAGATAGTGTGTGAAGAGGGTTGGATGCATGAGTTGTTGATGAATTCCAGAGAGCAGTCGTGCAGCAGGGTTTACACTTATACCAGCTAAAAGACCGCTACAGACGTCCGTGTGTGGTGACACTAAAGCATGAATGACCTTTTCCAGGTCGGACTTGAAAATGAAAGGTTTTATTTACAAATGATCCGGAGAGAGTGTTTTACGGAGTTGGTTACAATGCCGGGCACCGCAGAATCAAATGTACACCTGGGTCCGGACGAATGGTCGGACAAAAGGCAACAGGACACCTTGATGCTGCTTAAGACCAAGCATGATCTTGTCAGGTGCAAATGTGAGAACGTCTGTTTTGTCTGCATTCAAACAACAAGTAAACAACCAGTAAACATAAAGCAGAAGATTAAAACTCACAGATGTGGAATATACCCACACTTTCAAGAACAAAAAGGCACGGGTTACATCAGTGCTACGTGGACATACGTAACACGTAGCACTGATGTGTCATTTCAAGTTGACTTGCTTGTTTGTAATTGGTTAATCCAGATTCAGTGTTTATGTAAAAATACGTTTGTTTCCAAATGAAAAGGTTCTAGATCTGTAGACATGCACATTTGTTCTATAAAATCCCTCTGCTCTGAGTGCAAAGTGGATCAATAAAGTCTAATCTATTGTTAAAACAAGCAGACATTTCGAGAATTTATCTTTTGATGCTTGTTTTACAGACGTCTGTTCTCCTGTAATGCTTGAAAGTTTAGTTCTTGTAGCGTCACACTTGATAGCGTAATGACTCTATATCTAATCATGACAAATAAGATGTGATGATTCCATTTAAATATGAAATATCAACCTGATTGATCTTTGAATGTATAACCAGACGAGCTTAGGACTCTTTGCTTATTCAGGGACCATAAACACACTTCGTATTAATTCAGACAGAGTCAGGTACAGCATTTTCCAGACTAAAAGTTGCTTCGGAGTATAAGTCGCACCAGCCATAAAATGTATAATGAAGAAGAAAAAAAACACAAATAAGTCTTCAAAGAGCCAACAAACAGACTTAGAAGCAAACAAGCATTCCAGCTTCCTGTCGTCACCTGGAGAGATCTCAGACTAGACGGGTCCTATCGGAGCTAATCTGCGGGTTCCTGGTATCAGACATATTTGACTCTGTCTGGATTAATTTGAAGTGTGTTTGTGGTCCCTGAATAAGTATAAGTAACTAGAATCTTCTAATTAGACAGTCAAAGATCAATCAGATTGATATTTCATATTTATATGGAATCATCACATCTTGTTGATCATTTGTCACCAATCCTTAACTCTACAACGGAAATGAAAGGAAACGTGGGTTTGGAGGTGACGAGCGCATGAAGAAGTGGAGGAGAATAAATGACCAATGTGTCCATGTTAAAAGTTTCTGAAATACAAAAAACACAATATAAAGACACTATCTTGGACTGGATACATGTCAGGATACCACACGACAATGCTACGCCCTCTGCTGTCCGGGCGGGGCATTGCTCCCCAGGAGACGGAGAAGTCTGAAGGCAAACGTCTCCGTCTGTGCGTGCGTGGCTCTCCCCCGTGGAGAATTAGGCTTTAAGTGTCTTTGAAGGACACACTAAACTCAAAGCCCAAGTCACCACACTGCACCCACAGCATCTAAATCTAGCTGGAAGGTGGAAGAACTATAACACAAATGTCTCGAGAGGTTCAAATCTATCTGCTTACAACAGCCAGGTGCTACCACACCCGTCTTCCTGGAATTAACCATGGAAGTGGCCATACAAGCTGCTGTAAATACAATGGTTTCCATTTCACCCAAGGGCTCCACTAAAAGCACATGACTTAAGTTAAAGGTGTTGGCCAGTAGAGTAGTAGAAATGCAGTACAACTACTAGGGATGAGCCGGGTACTCGTTTCAGACGAGTATCCGGTACGGATAAAGCATTTTTGACGAATACGAGCATGAAACGAGTAAAACCTCGTAAATATCTGTATTCGTGCTGAAGGCCAGTCACATGAGCGCCCGCCCCTCCCTACACACAAAACTCTGCAGCCGGGAGCTCAGTCCATCCGACACTCACTCACACACACACTCTCACTCACACTCTCTCTCACACTCTCTCTCACACTCTCACTCACTCTCTCTCTCTCTCTCTCTCTCTCTCTCTCTCTCTCTCCTCTCTCTCTCTCTCTCTCTCTCTCTCTCTCTCTCTCTCTCTCTCTCTCTCTCTCTCTCTCTCTCTCTCTCTCTCTCTCTCTCTCTCTCTCTCTCTCTCTCTCTCTCTCTCTCTCTCTCTCTCTCTCTCTCTCTCTCTCTCTCTCTCTCTCTCTCTCTCTCTCTCTCTCTCTCTCTCTCTCTCTCTCTCTCTCTCTCTCTCTCTCTCTCTCTCTCTCTCTCTCTCTCTCTCTCTCTCTCTCTCTCTCTCTCTCTCTCTCTCTCTCTCTCTCTCTAAGATGATCCCCATCTTTAGACCCTCCTGGGACCGGCAGAACCTCTGTGCCATCCTGGATTAGTGCAAACAACGAGTCAAACTAACGACTTACTCCAGCATCTGGAAGAGTTATTCTGGTAAGCTGTTGGTTAAATATGATCTAGAGTTTTATTAATATCTACACACAGCGGTAACACTGGCAGCACATTATTTATTCTGTACAATGTCCTTGAGTGACAAGAAAGATGCTTTTTAAATAAAATGTATTATTATTATTATTATTCTATTATTTATTTTTTTATTTATCTGTAGATTATTAAATTATATTGGGACAGATAATGAAGCTAAGACCTGGAGTCAGCCGAGAGCTTCTGGTGGAGCTCAGAAATGAAATATAAAACATAAAAGTAAACCAACTGAACCGATTTTGGTTCTGAGGATGAACAGAACCCTCCCCCGTGTTCAAATCAGGTCGTGGGCCTTCTGAATCAAGCGGTCCTTTTCATGCTGCTGTTTCCACCAATCTTGCCTCTCTCAGAATCCAGTATTATGTTTTCTTATTCGTTTTTCTCTTCCTCGTCATTTTTGAGTTTGAATATTTCCACTTTTCTCCTTTATTTATAACATTTAAAAAGCCTTTATATATTTTTATAATCATTTGTGTTTTTATGTTTTGTTCTTGTGAAGCATCTCATCATTTGTACCTTGAGAGGTGCTACGTAAGACAATAGTTTCTTCTTCTATAGGTGCAGGTCACTTGTCATTTATACCTCCAGGTATGTCAGCAGGATAACGGCCTTTCTCCTCTTCATCCTTTCAACACTTTCGTCACTTCAGCCCTACGAATCTCAGCTTCTTCCTTTCCTTCTCAGTAGCCCAGTGATACTGGGACTAGAGGATCAGGGTTCAAATCCCAGTTGGGTCATACCAAAGACTTTAACAACACCTCCCTGCTTGACACTCAGCTTTAAGCAGTTGGATTGGGGGGCTAAACTACTAAATAATTCCCGAGGCTGGCCACAGCTGCAGCTCACCGCGCCCCACGGGGATGGGTCAGGTGTGGAGATGAATTACACCAGCACGTGGTGACCAGTGGAACTTCAACTTTAATTTTCCCGAGCAACAGAAGGTGCAGCGCACTAAACATTTATCCAAAGGCTGATGAAAGCATGAAACTTTTCACTTCTTAAGGTTCTACAACCCCCAAAACCAATTAGAAGGCAGTACCACTGAGCCTGTAGCAGTAGGCATCGAACTTGCTGCCCTGGTCCACTGGGTCTTTGTAGATGACCAGACCCACGTGATTGTCGCCACATTTAGCCGAAGGAAAGCGAGTCGGATACCCAACTTTCCCACCCTCCATCCAACCGGCGACACATAGATGCATCCCAAGCTGTCAAGACCAAAGAGAAACTTGCATCAACACATCAGGAGGTATCTTACAACAATCAGCTCCAAAGTAATATATACAAATAGATATTCTGAATTTCCCTCTACTACCCATTAATTCCATTATCCAAGTGTCTATGTAGGTTTGCCAATATGTTCTAAAGATATTTGGGTCAGAATTGTGTTTGATTGCCAGGTAGGTGAGTCTCACATCACTTCTTGCTTTGACGGAGTTGTGCAATCATACAAGTAAAGCAAGTCAAATTAGCATGCATATAAAATATTATGAATGACAAACATAAGAGACACATAGTGACTGTTGCATATCTGTATGGTTATAATGGTTGTTTGTTGTTCAGGAGTCCTACAGCCGAGGGGAAGATGCTGTGTCTGTGTCATGTGCCTGAAGCTTTAAACAGTCCATGACCAGGATGAGAGGGATCCGCTGCCATTCCAACAGCATGGCCCAGAATCCAGATCGGGAATTGGTGGAAGTAGGGATTCAACGATTCTAAAGTTTGGTGGTACAGTTATTGTTGAGAAGAGACCCGGCACAGGCCCGTTGATAACATCTTTGAATTGTGTGTGCTGAAACTGAATTTCATTTCTCTGTATGTCCTGCACATGTGGAGAACATGACAATAAATGACTTTGAATCTTTTTTGAACATGACCCGGTGCTGTGTTTGCACCTGAACTGACCCGCTCTGACCAGAACCTACACTGACTTGGATAAAGTAGCTGCTTCTCTAACTATAACCACTTTATATTCCTTTATCATGATTATTTTCTTACTTTCTATATTTGCTGATCTCAAATTTTTATCTTTCTTTTTGCACCAAGTACCGCAGAAATCCCCTAACGTTGTGATTTCTCTCACATATATGGCAACAAAACCTTCTGATTCTGATTGTTAGCCTTAATATTAAGCTAAATATCTTAAAGACTGAATATGGTGATTGTTTCTAATGTTTCCAGACATCCAAGTGTGCTTGTTTTGTTTACCTGCTGTGCATCTCCCAGCTGTTTGAAAGTAGCCAGCGTGGCACCCTCAACCTGGCAGGCAGCTTCAGCCTGACTCAGATTCATCTTGTACTTCCCCTCCGTGGAGCGGATGTGAAACACTCCGGCTGTGTTGGCTAAAGAACACAAGATGTTCTCCATTTAAATCCAGATTACAGTGGAGACCACAGAGAATGGACACGTGTGCTCAGAGCATCTGCTGACTAACGTAGTTCCTCCGCACACACACACACACACACACACACACACACACACACACACACACACACACACACACACATACACGCACACACACACGCACGCACGCACGCACACACATACACACACACATGCACGCACGCACACACACACACGCACACACTCGCACACGCACGCACACACACCTACACACACACGCACGCACGCGCACGCACGCACACACACACACACACAGACATGCACGCACACACACACATATACGCACGCACACACACACACACACACACACACACACGCACGCGCACACACACACTCACACACACACACGCACGCACCTACACACACACACGCAACGCACGCACGCGCACGCACACACACACACATATACGCACGCACACGCACACACTCGCGCACGCACGCACACACACACACAGACATGCACGCACACACACACATATACGCACGCACACACACACACACACACACGCACGCGCACACACACACTCACACACACACACACACGCACACGCACACACTCGCACACGCACGCACACACACCTACACACACACACACACGCAACGCACGCACGCGCACGCACACACACACATATACGCACGCACACACACGCACACACACACACACACAGACATGCACGCACACACACGCACGCACGCACTCGCACACGCACACACACACGCGCGCACGCACACACACGCACACACGTGCACGCACACACACAGGCATGCACGCACACACACACATACATGCACGCACACACACACGCACGCACGCACGCACGCACACACATACACACACATGCACGCACGCACGCACACACACACGCACGCACACACACACACACACGCACGCGCGCACACACACATGCGCGTGCACACACACACTCACACACACACACACACACACACACACACACACACACACACACACACACACACACACACACACACACACACACACACACACACACACACACCAGCCATCATCCCAGCAGAAATGACTGATCTGTTGCCAACATGACTTCCAGTCTACTATTGCCCTGATGGGCTCCATAGACTGGTGCACAGACATGTTGCCATGACGACAGTTTTTATGTGATGCTCTGTCAACAGATTTCCCACAGTAACCAACATCATTACGAGAAGCCAGAGGAGGAGTTTTTGTGGCAACACAAAACACGGTGCATCTTTTGATTAGATAATGGAGGGTGGTAAAATGATGTTACCATGACAGCAAACGTAATCTCGGTGTTACCATGGTAATGAAGGTCCTTGCAGGTGGCCACAATGTCACAACCTCCGTTGTCTTCAAGGCAGCGATCCGTGGGGGGCACCGCCCTCTCCAGACATTGGACTCCATTACCAACAAACCCCGGCAGACATTCACATTCTCTCTCGTTCTGTAGAGTCCACATAATATCAGTCAGAGGGGATTTGTGTGTGTGTGTGTAATATCTTGTAATATTTACAAGATCAATATCATCAACCTGGAAAGCTTCACTGGGCCCACAGTTTACTGTAGTGCTCTGCAACCACATCTGACCCAGAGACACCATCTACTGCAGCGGAGCGGGGGCTTACAGTTCTTCACTATGTCCTTGCCTAAGAGTGTTTTAGCCATGGAATCTGCCCTCATGTGTTCCTCATTCTTCTTAATAAGTCTTATAGTGTATTTGTATTTTGATTTATTTTATTACTTTTTTATTTAACCAGGAAGGTCCGATTGAGATTAAAAACCTCATATTCAAGGGAGTCCTGGCCCAGAGGCAGCAGAAGATACAAATGTGTGCTGGGGGCAGTCTTGTTAGATCTCAGTGCTGCCTTTGACACAGTAGACCACAATGTTCTTTTAGAAAGACTTGAACATGTTGTAGGGATCAAAGGAACAGCGCTACGCTGGTTTAAGTCCTACCTGTCTGACAGATTTCATTTTGTAAATGTACATGACAAATCGTCTTCATACTCCAGGGTTACTTGTGGAGTACCACAGGGTTCAGTGCTTGGACCAATTCTTTTTACTATATATATGCTCCCAATTGGTAAAATCATTAGACAGCATGGGATAAACTTCCACTGTTATGCTGACGATACTCAGTTATATTTATCCATTAACCCTGATGAACCCAATCGGTCTTGAGGACATAAAAAATTGGATGAATCTAAACTTTTTGCTTTTAAATCAAGACAAGACGGAAGTTCTCATCTTTGGACCTGAAATCCAGAAAAGGAAATTGCTTAGCCAATCGCCTGACCTGAATGGCATTACATTGATCTCTGAGAACAAAGCAAGGAACCTTGGTGTTATCTTTGACCAGGACATGTCATTCAAATCCCAGGTTAAACAGGTTTGTAGGATTTCCTTTTTCCACCTTCGGAATATTGCTAAGATTAGAAGCATCCTTTCCAGGAGTGATGCTGAAAAACTAGTTCATGCATTTATTACATCAAGACTGGATTACTGTAATCCATTACTCTCAGGAAGTCCACAGAATGTAGTTAAAAGTCTTCAGCTTGTCCAAAATGCTGCAGCTAGAGTTCTGATGAGAATTAAAAAGAGAGATCATATCTCTCCTGTCTTAGCTTCCCTACATTGGCTGCCTGTTAAATTCAGAATAGATTTTAAGATCCTTCTTCTCACATATAAAGCTCTTAATAATCAAGCTCCATCATACATCAGTGATCTGATTGTTCCATATGTTCCTAACCGAGCACTTCGCTCTCAGACTGCAGGTCTACTGGTGGTTCCCAGAATATCTAAAATTAGGATGGGAGGCAGATCTTTTAGTTATCAGGCTCCTCTCCTGTGGAACCAGCTCCCAGCTTTAGTCCGTGAGGCAGACACCTTGTCTACTTTTAAGAATAGGCTTAAAACATTTTTATTTGATAGGGTCTATGGTTAAAATCTGATGTTAGCCTAGATCTGGACAAGTGGGGGAGTAGAGGGAGGTGGAGTGTACAGTCGGTAAAGACGGCTCTCCCTTGCCCTGCCTCCAACATGCCTCCATCTAAATAGGATAGATTATCCAGAGTTATCTCTGTAGTTATGCTGCTATAGGCTTAGACTGCTGGAGGATACACTGATCACTTTTCACACTCTACTACTTTCTTCTACAATCTGCTCTTTAACTGTATTATTTTCTGCTATTTCAGCTGTTAACTTTATTTTCTCTCTAAGTGTTTTTCTCCCCAGAAGAAGCTACAACGATGTTCTGCTGAGCTGTGGTGGCCTCATGGAGGGGGCCATCGTCTAGCACACTGCTGCTAACCACTAAAACATTCTCCCTCTCCTGATAATAACTTTTTGCTTTCCTTGACATTGAATGTGCTACTACTAGTTTACCCGTTTAATAATAGATTCACTAGGATAAATACAATAAAGTTTATCTCTCACCAAATAGAATATTTACTAAACAGTCACAGTGTAACCATGGACACATTGCCTGGTGTGTGTGTGTGTGTGTGTGTGTGTGTGTGTGTGTGTGTGTGTGTGTGTGTGTGTGTGTGTGTGTGTGTGTGTGTCAGTGTCACTAGTCAGTGACTTGATGCAATTTGCTGGGTTCCTTATATAGGAAACATTATTTCTGATTGGCTTAATGAACTGTGAATTGGAATGTTTATTATGTGAAGTGCCTTGAGACGACTCTTGTCGTGATTTGGCGCTTTATAAATAAACTTGAATTGAGTTGAATGTTTCAGTTACACAGACATGTTATGTACAAAATTACAGAAGGTTGTTACAACACAGGGAATACATCTCCAGGGCTCTCAGTCTGATTTTAAATGTATTCAACAAGATAAACTGGGTTAATTTCCAGTTTTCCTGCTGCCTGCTCCATGCAGAAGGAGCAGATGAACCAAAATTTGGTGCGAGCAAACAGAACACAAACTAACAGCTGATGGTTTGTAGGCAGACAGAGAAGTTAACCTTCTCTGCTCCAGAATCCAGACAGCTGGACTACATACTGTCTTTGCAGGAGACCCACCCGTGAATGCCACACAAGCAGTAAGAACTTCACAAGTGAATCTAATATTATTTGTTTTCTTTTGTTCTGATAAGTAAAAGCAAGATGAGTTTACTGTTAAGTGAATCATGTTGATTTCCTGTCTAGCCCTATGTTAACTGCAGAAGTTGAAGTGTCCCTGATGCAACTTGTGGCAAAAATAGAACCCAATCCCATCCCAATAAGTGGCACAGCGGTCCATTTCTGGGTCGTGCTGATCAGCTGGTAAACCCTGGCATTGATAACATCCTGTCCACGTGGTAATCGTAATGGGGAGCAGAAAGCTGAAGACTTGGCTGAGCAGTTGCTAGGAGTTTATGTTTATGTATTTAGCAGACGCTTTTGTCCAAAGCGACTTACAAGTGATAATAGGCATGTTGCCTTTGAGGCTAACAACAACAATAACAACAACAACGTGACATCAATCATGGAGAGGAGGGAACAAGGAGTGGACAGTAGAGAGGGGGACGGGTGCAGGGAGGGTGCTAGTTTAGAAGACGCTCTCTGAAGAGCAGGGTCTTCAGGAGTTTCTTGAAAATAGAAAAGGAAGCTCCTGTTCTGGTAGTGCTTGGAAGGTCATTCCACATTTGTGGAACGATGCATGAGAAGAGTCTGGACTGTCCTGAGCGTGGTGTAGGCACCGCTAGCCGACCATCCTGTGATGACCGGAGCGGCCGGGCCGAGACGTAAGCCTTTGCAAGAGGATTCAGGTAGATGGGAGCCGTACCGTCTCAGACTTTGTATGCTAGTGTTAGCTATTTGAATTTGATGCGTGCTGCTAGCGGTAGCCAGTGGAGCTCAATGAACAGAGGGGTGACGTGTGCTCTTGTTGGCTGATTGAAGACCAGACGCGCCGCTGCGTTCTGGACCATTTGAAGAGGTCTCGCAGTACAGCCTGGAAGACCAGTTAGAAGGGCGTTGCAGTAATGGAGGCGGGAGATGACAGTAGATTGCACCAGGAGCTGGGTGGCATGTTGTGTTAGGTATGGTCTGATCTTTCGTATGTTATACAGCACAAAGCGGCATGAATGAGCAACAGAGGCAACATGATCTTTAAAGGCCAGGTGTTCATCAATCACAACACCCAGATTTCGAACTGCCTTTGAAGGAGCCAGAGATAGGAAGTCATTTTGGATTGAGATATTGTGCTGTATGGATGGTTTTGCTGGGATGACAAGTAGTTCAGTTTTAGAGAGGTTGAGTTGGAGATGGTGGGATTTCATCCATTTTGATATGTCAGAGAGACAGTTTGATATTCGTGCAGAGATAGTGTGGTCGTCCGGTGGAAATGACAGATAGAGCTGGGTGTCGTCTGCATAGCAGTGGTAGGAGAAGCCATGTGATCGAATGATCTCACCCAGTGAGGTGGTGTATATGGCAAAGAGAAGAGGTCCTAGTACAGAGCCCTGGGGACTTCTGTGGCTTTCTCTGCGATGCCCATGCTAGAGAGTGTGGACAAAAGGAAGCCATGGTTGACAGTGTCAAATGCAGCGGATAAGTCGAGCAGGATAAGCACTGAGGATTTGGCAGTCGCTCTAGCTTCTACTCCAAACTCTCGATTATAATTCCAAGTTTTGAGAGAGAGCAGAAAAAAATACATGAACATTGGGGAACAGACTTGTGGGAGCAGTTACTGTTTTGATCTGTGCAGAGAAAAAGTTTTCTCTTGAGAAGAAAATATCTGCGTAAGATGGTTTCAATCTGAGTGAAGAAACAACCATTTGAGGGACAACAGAGTATATTTGAAAGCGAGCAGACGTTTTGAGCGCAAAGATAAGAAATCCTGCTCTCAACTGAAAATTCAAGCTCTTGATTTTTTTATGATAATTCTTCTACACTGCTCTAAGTTAAAAGACTCCATTATAGACATGAACTCTACTGCTGTGCTACAAAGTAGGATCACTAATGTGTAAGTTAAAGTCACCAAGGATTAAAACTTTTTCTAGTTTGATCATTGATGATAGAAATTCTGCTGATTCAGAGACAAAAGGACCAGCTGGACCGGGAGGTCGGTAGATTAAAATACAGTGAAATACATTTTGTAACTCTGCTTTGATGACCTGACATTAAAAAGTTGTAAAAGGGCCATTTTTCACCAGATTACAGACATGTTTGTCCTTAAAGACCACAGCAAGACCTCCACCACGACGTGACGGGCGTGGTGTGGTAAACACAGAGCAGTTTGGTGGACATATTTCATTGAAATGTACAAAATAGCCATTTTGCTGCCACGTCTCAGTAAGAAATAAATAGTCAAACTTTTCTCTGGTGAACAGCTCATTTAAAATGAAGGATTTGTTTGAGATGGAGCGGGCGTTTAACAGGGCACACTGAACTGAATCCTGGAGAGCATTTGTCTTCTCAACCTGTTGGAGAGGGATGGGTCGTAAACATCTGGTGTTCTGGGTTCTCCGGCCATGAATACATGAACTGGAATAGGAAATCTTTTGGGTTTGTCAGCAGAAGAAAACATTTTGGGAATTGAGACTTTTGGAAGACACACAGAAGACTGTTGCATCATGGGAGGACTGTAGGGGGTTAAGTTATTTGAAGTGGTGGTGTGAGCAAAGACCGTAGAAGGTGAAGATGGCTGAGATGTAAACCGTCATGTCTATGGAAGGGAATCCACCATAGATGTATATCTATGGGACTGCACAGCATACCAGATGTTAGCGGTTAGCATGCTGGAGCCATGATGGTTAGGGTGAATACCCTCGCACCTGAAAAAGGAGAAACGCTTCCAAAAAAGGTTAAAATTATCGAAGAGGCCAAAACTGTGGGACCTGCAAGCAGACTGAAGCCAGGAGTGGAGATGGTTAGAATGCTGTTGTGTGATGACTGACTCCCGGAGAGTAACATCAGTCGATCCCACATGAATGAGAACTCTTAACCGGGGCAGGTGGACCAGCAATCGACGCACAGCATCCTTCAGGATTCTGCATCTGGCATCAGAGGTTGAGGTCTGTGGGGGAAGAGATTGCTGAGGTTGCTTCTTCTGGACTACAGGTTCCTGCTGGATGGGATCAGATGGTTGGGAGGGAATAGGAGGCCTGGAGACATCAGCTGGTTGTTCCTCAGAAAGTGGAGAGAGGCGGATTGAAAGACTGAGGTCAGGTGGGGGGGGGGATCAACCACAGGGGCTCTCCTACAGCCACGTACCACAACCTCTGACCAAGATAATGAGTCAGGAGTAGAGCTGGAAGTTGGTTTTGGTGGTGCAGAGGGATCCCAAGCAATGGTGTTTTGGAGCAGAGAGTTCTGCATGGATGTTTTATCTTCACACTGACTGGCAGTGGTCTCAGACAGTCCAGGGATGCGAGATCTAAAACTATCCAGCAGCATTTCCTTTGGCTGCTCAGCAGAGTCGTCGTATATCCTCTTTAAGGTTTTCGATCCTTTTATTTGCTTTAGAAAGCATAAAGGTGTCTTTGAGGGGCAGAAGGAACAGGAGGACAGGCATTCAAGATAGCTTCAAGGGTGCTTACACTTTAGCTGAGCTGCCTCTGTCGGATCCGAAAGATTTGTATTCCAGATAAAAGTCCAACAAAAAACGAACCCCACAGAATCAAGCAATCAGTGACAGGAAAGAACCGTTTTTCTCACAGGTCTGCCTCACTTGGTAGTAAGATTGTGTCATGGCGCAACAGAAGGAGGTGTCACGATGGTGTGGGGAGTTAATGCCGAGATCCGGCCGGTAAAATTTATTCAAAATGAAAGTAAACACGGGCAATTAGTTTTGCTTTTTCAACAAAATCAGCTGAGATTGCAAATTGGAGCGCCAGACCGCTCTGTGAGCTTCTCTCCGTTAGACCTGCATCTCAGATCACCAGAGCCACATCGAGAGGCCCAGACTTCCCTCTCCCCAGCCACTTTGGCCAGCTCCTCCGGGGGAATCCCAAGGCGTTACCTGGCCAGGTGAGAGACGTAGTCCCTCCACCGTGTCCTGGGTCTACCTTTTGGCCTCATCCCGATTGGCTCAGCTCAGCTCTCTCTTCACCACGACAGACCGGTACAACGCCCGCATCACTGCAGACGCAGCACCAATCCGCCAGTCGATCTCACGCTCCAGCTTTCCCTCCTCAGTCTTGAACAAGACCCCGAGATACTTAACCCTCTGGAGGCTGGCGGTGCAGATTAGCAACGTTAAAACCTACCTACCTGGTTACCCCACGTACGTGTTTCATGAGCATTTTTTAACTCAGAAGTTCCCCTGAAGGACTCAGTTGTTCGTCCTTTTATCAACACTTACTTTGAGCCTGAGAGGGTTCAACTCCTCCACTCCCTGACCTGGAGAAGGCATTCTACCCTTGTCTGACTCAAGACCATGGTCACCATCAAGTTTTTCTTCATAAATCACAAAGTTTGTGTAGAAAACAACTCTCACAGTTTTCAGACACTGTTTTGTGCGTAAGCAGCTTCCAAAATGAGGTTCTTCATGTTTGTTCTGTTTTTATTGAACTAGTTATTGGAGATTGGACAAAAGATCACATCAATAATGTCCTTTCTAGTAAAGTAAAAAGCTGAAGCTCTATACTCATCAGCAGGTCTGAGGATAGAACAAATAAACAAGAACATTTTGTTTTCTTGCATACTATGTCTGTAGTAGATTACCAGTACACTTCGATGGGCACCAGTACTTTGTCATGGGTATAAACATAATTGAGACAGGTTTCTACTCACAGGACCAGTGAACTTGCAGGAGGCAAAGTCACTGCAGCCACCATTTTGCTCTTCAACACATCTGGATATAAAGAAAATCTTTAGTTAGAAGTTGCATCCGGGTCACAGTAGTGGGATGGCGCTGCTCACCTGTTGATAGGCTCACACGAGAAGCCATCTCCACGGTAACCGCTGCGGCAGGTACAGTTCACGAGCAGTCCTGTCTGGTTGCAGTCTGCACTGAGGTCACAGCCACCGTTGTACTCGGAGCAGAGGTCTGGGGCTGTAGGAGATTCCGCTTATGTCAGACAAACAAACAAAGGTCCAGAAGGTACCAAAGCACCTCCCCCCCCAGTGCTGTGGCAGTCAGAACCACCAGTCTCAGTCTAGCCCTCCATGGTCACACGGTGGTACCACAGGAAGGTCTAGCTGTTTCCTCTAGGGTGAAACTGTGGAGGTCAAATGGGTGAGTGGGAATTCCACTTCCGAACCCTAACCCACTTCCTGTGGAAACACTCGGGTGTTTAGTTGTAAATATAATGTTATCTGGTTGGGAACGAGCCAGATCTTTCCTGTCAGCATTGGAGCTCAGAAGAATATCAGTTCACCAGAATAAAAGTCACAAAAGCAAGACTTTTGCCTCACCTCTGACATGAGATTTACTTCATGCGCATGTGGGTCACACATGTCTGATGATTTAAGGCTGATGTGAATTTTGAAAGAGTTTGGATCGCATTATTCTGATCAACGTGCCTGCTTCGGAGTGTTATGGTGTAGGGGGAAACAGTTTAATATCCAGGCAACCACAGAGGTGCTTCTGGTACGTACCGTCACTTCTTCCATAAAACTGTAATCAGTCATAAAAGAAATGTACGTTTATTTTGGGGGATTTAAGTTTAAGAAAGTTAAAGAAAATGTACAATTAAAGTCTGTTACATCTATTCTGCCTGCTAACGTTTGTAGAGTAGCTAACGGTGTACATTTGTTTGCCTAAGGTCACCAACCTAAAACTCGCCAGTCAAGACAAGAATAAAAGAGACTAAATGGGAGGCATTGTCGTGCATCATTCATTTACTTGTTTAACCTTTATTTAACCAGATGAGTGGAGAGAGAACTTGTTCTCATTTCCAACGAGGGTCTGGTCCAGAGGCAGCAGCGCGGTTAGCTTTACACCAAAGAACAGCAGGTGAGATCAACCAGATAAAACAGGACATAAAGACAGAGGACTGTTCTCATAGGTAATATGTACAAGGGGTCAGAACAGACTTTAATACTCAGAAGAACACTGATCAGAAACTATTGATCACCATGAACTATTGAAGGTAGATACTGGGATGTTGTTAGTGAGCTGCTGTGGTTCTGCAGCTCATTCCAGTCGTTGGAAGCAGCAAACTGGAACGAGGAGCGGCCAAAGGAGGTGTGAGCTTTGGGAATAACCGTAGAGATGAAGTTACTGGAATGTAAACGGTGCTGGTTGCTGGAAGAGAAGATGATGATGAGAGAAGATATGACGGGTTAGGGTTAGGATGATGTAACTTCCTGCAGGAATGGAGTGATGGCCAGTTAACAAGTGAGCACAGATCACAATGATGAGTGGTGACCAAACGGGTTGCTGAGTGATGAATGACATCGAGTTTATGAATAAGTTTTTAGGAAGCGGTCCTGTAAATGATGTCACCATGACCTAAGATGGGGTGTTATCCACGAGAACGGTCCGTTGTCTTTGTGTCTGTTGTTTCTCATCCGTTGCTCTCTGGTGTGAAGCTAACCGTGTGTGTTGCTGCTGCCTCTGGACCAGACCATTGGTGGAAATGAGAATGAGTTCTCTATCCACTCATCTGGTTAAATAAAAAAACACTTCAGACGTCTGCCAGAAGAAGAGAGACCTTGTCTGAACAGAACAACACCTGGGTCCGAGCACACCCCCAGAAGCTCATCTGCCCAGCAGCTATGCTGAAGTCTGTGTGCTGCCGGTTTAACGCCGACACTTGTCTCGAACACGGGCTGAACACTTACGCGGCATCAGGCTGCAGAAAGTCCCATTCCCCTCGAATCCTGGTTTACACTGACAACCAACGTGAGACACACATGTAGCTTGAGCGTGGCATTGTCTGCAGTTCTCCGGGACCGAGTCTGGACACACATGTTGGATTCGTCACAGGGGGTAAACAACAACAATAAACATCTGCTGAGATCAATCTTTTAGTGTAATGCAAGGAATAAAAACTACAGTCCTGAAGACCACAGAGATGATCTCATCTGATCCTCCATCAATGGACGTGATTCACTTAGAAAGCTGCCATGTCCCAAGCAACACCCTCTGTAGACAGTCGTAACGTTAGCCACTCCCTACCTCAAGTTAGATTGGTAGCCAAAGCTAAATGTGAATTAAGACAACACATACAGATAATGTCTAACTCCTTTTCACACTGGAAGCAACATGGAGGTATTCAAACCAGCTGTGAGCCATTTCCAGGCATGTCAGAAGTGGCACGCCGCACCACTTAAGATAGGACTGGGTTCTATTGTTGCTGTGAGCTGCTTCTGAGGCTGGAGGACGCGCTCATCTACCTGCAGCACCAGGCTCTGACTCACCTCGAGATGCAAAGAAGCGCAGTGAGAATCATGTTCTTCGACTTCTCAAGTGCCTTCAGCACCATCCAGCCCTGTCTACTGCAGCAGAAGATGAGGGGTGCAGGACTGGACGAACATCTGACTACATGGACCATCAACTACCTCACCAACACATGAGGCTGCACCACTGTACATCTGAGGTGGTTGTGTGCAGTACTGGAGCTCCACAGGGTACAGTGCTCTCACCCTTCCACACCTCGTACTTCACCTATAACACCAGCAGCTGTCACCTCCAGAAGTTCTCTGATGACTCGGCCATTGTCGGCTGTATGTCTGAGGGGAATGACCTGGAGTACAGTCGTCCTGGACCTTGTGGACTGTTGTGAGTCTAACCACCTTTGCTTGATCACCAGTAAAACAAAGGAAAAGGTGATAGACTTCCAGAGAAACACTCCTCCTCACTCACCAGTAAACATCCAGGGAGCAGACATTGAGGTGGTGGATACCTTTAAGTACCTGGGTGTTCACCTCAACAGCAAACTGAACTGGTCCAACAACACAGATGCTGTATACGAAGGGCCAAAGCCGCCTCCACCTCCTGAGGAGGCTGAGGTCCTTCAGAGTTAATTCCTAGCTGCTAAAATGCTTTCATCATTCTGTGGTCGGCTCTGTTATCCTCTCTGCTGTGGTCTGTTGGGGTGCAGGCAACTCTGACCGAGACAGGAAGAGACTGAACGAGCTGCTTCACGTAGCTAGCTCGGTTCTGAGCTGCCCACTGGATCCAGTTGAGGAGATGCATGAAAGGAGGATGCTGGGGAAGATGACCACCATCTTAAAAACATTCCCAGCTGGGATCACAGCAGACCCGTCTCACCCTGGACAGTCTCTTTGACTCACTCCCATCTGGCAGGAGGCTCAGATCCATTCGGACCAGAACCTCTTGCCACAAGAACAGTTTCTTCCCCTCTGCGGACGAACTCATGAAGACCAGTCGTAGACCCGCCCACTCATCTGCTTTGTTCTAGTCACATGACCCGGTGTTGTGTTTGCACCTGTACCGACCCGCTCTGACCAGAACCCACACTAAACTGTATAAAGCAGCTGCTTCTCTAATTATTGTCTCCCTATATTATCATCATTTCATTGTGTTTATTTCTTAATTCTAATTCCTACTTGGACTGAGAACCGCAGCAATTTCCGAATGTGGTGATTCTCACACACATGGCAACAAAACCTCCTAATTCTGGTTCTGACACGGAAAAAAGCTCACCGATGTGGTTCTGGCACCGATCTCCTTCCCATCCAGACTCACAAATACATTGTCCAGTCCCATCCACGCCCTCATCACAGCGTCCGGTCCCACAGCTGCAGGCTAAAAGAAAAACAGCAGCACCAGGCCTGGATCAGAGAGATGGTTCTGATGATGTTCTTCTAACCCTGGCCTGGTTATTGCTTTGGACTGCTCCTGGTGGTAAAGAGACACAACTGTTGTTGTTGTGCATCTCCAGGAACTTAAGGTCAGAACTTCTGGCCTCTTGCTCTTTTTCTCCTGACCCTAAAGGCTGTTCCGATGTCACAGCCTCGTCTAAAATCCATCCTCTATTCTGATGTACCTGTGCAGTTGACGCCATAGTAGCCACTGGCACAGAGTTGACAGGAATGTCCTCTGAAGCCTTTGTAGCACCTACAGACTCCCGAACCTGTGAGACCATCATCACAGTCACCATGGCGACTACAGGGAGCTTCCACTCCTCCTGGACACACTGACACAAAGAAAGAAGGAGTCAAAAAAGAAGTCATAAACTTCATGTGAATATATGAGTCATACCTTTACAGTCTCTGCTGTAGTGGTTTTTGCAGCACTGTGAGACCCAGGAAGGAACCTGACAAACTCTCATACAGCCCCGTCTGCTAATTCCAGGTTCCAGGTCTAGGTATGTGTATCTTGGACGATATCTTGAACAAAGCATTGTGTTTCCCTGATGAATGCAAACAGAACGTTCACCTTTCAGCTCCGCTACAAATAATTAGAATTGCTTTTGTGTCTGGAAGGACATGCTCACCAAGTAAATAGATGAGCTGGGGCAAGGTGGAGGGAAGAAGCAGCTTCCACAACGCCCCTGAAAGGTTTCAACACAAGCCTTACATTTCATTTAGAACCTTCTTCAGGATTGCTCTGATGTTCTAGTTAAGGGCATTTAAAACGCACACAAGTGCAGTGCATGCAAGAGAACAAACAACAAGAGCATGCAAATGAAGCTAGCACCATAAATAAGCCCAACACTGGTTAGTTATTTGTAATATCTACATGAACAGAACTCCTGACAGTGGATCTGAAAGGAAGCAGGGCTGTTGAGAAGTGGGCCAGAACTCATGGAGTAAAGAACAGTGTTGCTTCTGCTGAAGGAATTTCTGCTGGAGGAATTCGGCTCAAGCTGCTGTCTGCTTCTAGATCTAGTTCGTCCACTCCTGCACCCTCAATAAAGCAAAACTGTGCACATGTCAGGGTGTCCTTTTATTGTGGGCAGTCTAAGACACACCTGTACATTATTCATGCTTTCATCAGCCCCTTGATATGCCACACCTGTGAGGTGGGATGGATTATCTTGGTAAGGGAAAAGTGCTCACTAACACACATGTAGCCAGATTTCAGATCAATATTTGAGAGGCATGGGTGTTTTGTGTTTGTAGACAAATTTTCAGATTTTTGAGTTCAGCTCATGAAAAATGGGAGCAAAAACAAAAGTGTTGCGTTATTAGTTTTGTCTTGTGTATTCTCAGTGAACAAGCAGAGCCTCAGACCACTGCGATCAGAGCTGGGAACCGTGGCCTTTTACATCCGCTCATGCGCCACATTTGGAGATCAGCTGGACATTAGCTACATGCTAACCCAAAGCTAACAGAGTTTTTCTGGGCATTTTTGGCAAGAAAAATGCGGTAGTGCAATGCCAAAGTGAAGGCACCTTCGGCCTGCTTAGTAACAAAATCATAACTAGGTTAGCTGACCGAGGATAACGGGCTTTGCTGGTCCACCATGGTCAATGATCCACGACTCCGTCACTGTGTCGACACCCCACAGAGCCAAGACCCGAGTCGACAACAGTGGACTCATGAATCTTTGACCGTGGTGGACCCGCAAAGCCCGATATCCTCCACTGTCCTCGGTAAGATCTTTAGATCTAGTTTTTTTACCCAGCATGAACACCAACATGTTATATTTCAACCCATCTTAAAACAAGCGGTGTTATGGTAAACGAACACATATTTCCCCCGTTCAACCAGCAAACTATTAGCAAGAAAAATGTGGCTGAACAACTTAAAAGCGAAGCAGCATCAAGAAACAGAGCTGCAGTGTATCTGTGGTCTCCCTCAGAGGTCCACCAATGACCATCATGACTACAGCCTCGCATCGGAGTCGGCACGGTTGCCCGGGAAACGGGAACAACCAGCCGCTTGCTCTAGCAACTGTTCTCAGGCAGGAGACAGGAGAAGCTGCACCCGCTCAAGGTTCTTATGAAGCCCCACTAACATATTCGACCAAGCCGTTAAATTAAACTAACTGACTTCTTTAACATGGGAGTCAATGAGGATTTGCTCACTTTAGCTGCCAGCCCCTAGTGGATGACGGTGGAACTGCACTTTCAGTCACTTCCTTGTTGGCTTCACTTTCATTGTAAAAACATGGGGGCTTGGTTTCCACAGCTCCAGGTCTGCTAGAAACCCCTGTAAGGTGTTAATGGGTTAGTTTCTGTCCCCATCAGACACACATGATGAAGCCTCAGGGCTCAATACTCTGTCCTCTACTTTTTAGTTTGTATCTGCTGTCTCTAGGGTCCATTTTTAGGAAGCACAAAATTGCCTTCCATTGCTATGCAGACGATACACAGATGTATCTCGCGCTAAAACAAAAGGATGGCTGCAGCATAACATCCCTAGTGGTTTGTTTGGATGAGGTCAAATCTTGGACGGCTTTTAACTTTAAAATTTGAATGAGAAAAACAGAGATAATTGCCGTTGGTCCTGGTACCTCCAGCAGGCCCGCTCCTATGGACTTAGGCCCCCTGGCTCTGCCAACAGTGACTAACTTGGGTTTTAAAATGGACGGTGATTTTAGGTTGGACAGTCAGATCAGTGCTGTTGTCAAATCCAGCTTCTTCCATCTGAGACAGTTGGCAAAGGTAAACACATTTTGACTAGAGAGGATTTTAAAACTGTAATCCATGCTTTTATTACAACTCATTTGGATGACTGTAACTCTTTGTATTTTGGTTTGAGCCAGTCCTCACTGTCTCGACTTCAGCGGGTGTAAAATGCTGCTGCTCGACTTATAACTGGTACAGGGAGGAGTGAACACATCACTCCTGTTTTGTCTGCACTGCACTGGCTTCCTGTCCATTTTAGGGTTCATTTTGAACTTCTTTTATCCGTTTTAAAGTCTTTAAACGGTCTTGCCCCGCCCTGCCTCTCTGAGCTATTGCACATTCACTCCTCCTCTCGGTCGCTGACCAGTTGCTCCTGGACGCTCCAAGGACACAGCGTAAGCTCAGAGGGGATAGCGCCTTCGCTGTTGCTGCTGCCGGCACATCTCAGAAAGTCACTGGAAACTTTTAAATCGTCTTGAAAGACCCACCTTTTTAGCTTGGCTTTCGACACCGTATGAAGTTTTGGATTTCTATTTGATTTTAGTGCTTTTAACTTCATACTGTATTCTAATTTATTCTGTTTTATGTTTTTATGTTCAGCACTGTGGTCAGTGAGGGCTGTTTTTAAAGTGCTTTATAAACAAAGCTGGCTTGGCTCTAATTCATCCATGTGAGTGGACATTACAGCAGGAGCAAAGTTGAGCAGAACATCCCTTGAGCCTCATTAGAGGAGATCCTAGATGGAGTTGTGTGAAGACCTGACCCAGAAAGGCTTCTGGACCACCATGAGATGGACTTAATCCTGATGGAGCTGTTGCATGCAGAATCCACTGGGCTTTCAGGTCCTAGGTTATTTGATCTCCTTAGTGTTTGTTTTGTAGTCTTCTGACTCATCCCTCTTGCTCAGTGAGGTGGGCTCATGAATCCAGGTTTCTACAAGTTTGGCTGCTGTGACTATAGAAACTGTGTTGAGACAGAGTACGTGTTAATAAGCCAAGAGCTGCTACAGATTTAGTTTTTGCTCTCTGAGCATTGAAGGAGGACTGGGTCAGTCGCAGATCAACTAACATAGGTGGTTCTGTTCTTCACTGCATCGCAGAATGCTCCCAGTCCAGGTGGCTCCAGCAGCTGGTCGATGCCGAATGCCAGACCTTCTTTAAATTCCATGTAGCGCTCCACCAGCCTGGCTGAGTTGTCATTAAGTAAAACTCCACCCTGGACACACACACACACATACAGAGGGAGAGAGAGAGAGGACACACACACACACACAAACAGAGGAAAGAGAGAGAGGATACACACAGAGGGGGAGAGAGAGAGTAAAACACAACAACATCAGTCAAAACAAAAGCAGAGCCTCTGTGGTAAAAGAAACCACATGTTAGCCTCATGAATGGTGGGTTGGGTCTTACCACCAGCGTCCTGTCGCAGCTTAACTTGACGAGTGACCCGTGCATGGTCCGATATGTCGAAGATTTCCTTGGCTGACCAATGTCTGTCAGCTACAAACAAATATTCATTATAAGTCTAAAAATGTTCCTCACTCATGCCGGATCACACTTTTGGCCATCACCCAGGAATTTTCATGTCACACTGGCAGAACTCCAGAAAAGTGGCACACTGCACGGCGCAAGATTTCTGTGAGGCAGACTGCATGACGTGACGTTCCAACAGGACGCGCTGCATCATGAGCGCACCTCCAGAAAGCAGACGTCACTGAGCAGACTGCTAACCAAAACAAAGCTTTTCTTTTTAGTGTCGGTTCATGACCCAGCTCATCCCCCTCCATGAAGAAACTTCACTGCGGGTCTCCTTTTTCCCGACTTCCAGCTAAACAGCTGATCTGTCTGCTGGACCTTCATCCTTCTCCTTAATAAGTAAAAACCCACTGAACTACAGAGAAGTAACAATCTGTCACAGATCGCTGCAACATCTAATCTTTTGCTGTGAATTCGGTCTCACTGCTCCTCCGCAGCTTCGCTCCGTGACATCTCATCACCACCGCTGTCACGAAGCGCAACTTCCTCTGTCCTCTGCGGCAAAACGCTCCTGAACCATCATTATCGGTTGAATATATGAATTTCCACCAACAGCAAAGGGTTCTCCTGTTTTTGAGTTGTTTGTGAGCTCATCTCCTCTCAGCTCTCACAGATCACATAATCACGGTTTTCACAATTCATCTGATGGTCTAAAAATGTAGTTTAATATTTTAGTATAACTCCGGTATAACTCGGGCTATTAAGAGAAATAAAAACTGGTGGGTAGTTTATAATCCGCATTTTAAACAAATTAAAAGTCAAACTCAGGGGCGGAGTCTTGCTGCTGTTCATCAGTGGTCGGTTGCAGACAGGAGTCGTAGGGTTTCAAGCCTGCTTGTAGATTGTCGGAGGCTGTCTTTGGTCGTGAGACGGCTCAAAAAGCTGTCGCAGAGCTGGTCAGACTGGATAACCACAGATACACAAATCACCCTCAGTTTCACCGTTTTTTGTTACGATTCTGCTCAGGATGAGAGATTTGGCTGAGACGGCCAAAAATTGCACAGTGTGAACCGGGCATGAGGCACACACATACCCTTAAAAGCAATAATACTTCAAATGAATAATACCTTTATAAAAAACAAAGTTTGCAATGCTATGCTAACCGTTGCTGTTTCATTCCTAACCTAAAGTAAAATGTATTTCACACCATACATCTAAAACCACACACCCTTCAGAACATCAAGACTCAGTCTCCACGGAGGTCCAAACAGGTTTATTTCCGGATCTGCTCTCGGTACAAAGCTGCTGTTCAGGCTGGAGGTATGTGCTTTAACAGCTCTGTATGGTACCAGAGTCAAGTACCTGGTACCTTCTTGGATAATTGTAGTCATAGTCTTTACAGCAATCCTCATACTAAGCAAGCATGCAGCGACAGTGGAGAGGAAAACTCCCTTTTAACAGGAAGAAACCTCCAGAGGATCCTGGCTCAGTGTAAGCAGCCATCCTCCACGACTCACTGGGGATGGAGAAGACGGAGGTGATAGAAGGTTTCTCCATTATAAATGAACCTTCTTACCTTGGAGTTTCGTATGATGTGAGCTTTGATGGTGGCAGTGAGCTGGTCCTGGTGGTTGGGGCTATAGAGCCAGCGTTGCCTTTCAGTAGGCAGGGAGTTAAGGGCTTTGTCAGTCGGCCAAAAGAAGGTGAATGGCTGATGGATGGACATCTGGAGCACTGGAAGCAAACCAGCATCCTGCAGCGTAGGATAAGGGGAGACGCCTCAACGTGACTAGATCTTTAGAGACTGTGCAGTTTTTACTGTTAGTCTTTGGAAATCAGAATCAGAATCAGAATGAATTTTATTGCCAGCGCTCTTTTCAGAGCGTAGGAACTTGACTCCATAGTACAACCTGACCAAGGTTACACACACACACATATAGACAGGACAGATACAGGCAGACCATGGGAGCAGCCATGACGGCGCTCCTTTGTAGATGAGTAAGGGAATACATGAGGGAAGTTCAGGGAGGGAGAAAAAAGGCATTAACAGGGTTACACCAGCAGGGTGTAGCGCTCCAATGCAAAAAAAAACACCCGACATGTAAGCAACAAACGTCACAGTTCACAACATGAGACCCGGTAGGTAGGGGGGAGGGGCAGGGATCCTGGTTCCTCAGCAGGGGCGGCCTGTGTGGCGCTCAACCAGCTGGCTCCGCAGGTGGGAGGGAGGTCATGGGGAAGCACAGAAAGCAGTGAGTCCTTAGCTTGATGACCTTGGTAGAGACCACAATCTGAAGGCGGGGGGGTGGGTGGATAGAGATTCACAGCATTTGTCTGCATTCCTTCCAGCGTGGGGGTTTTGCATGCAACTCCAAGGCAGCTTATGGCGTCAGATTCGATAACAGAACTTTGTTTGGGTCAGGCAGAGATAATTTTTCCTCTCTGCCTTAAGTCTGTATTGATCATTCAAGTCCTCCAGTGAAGCCAATTCAGTGATTAAACATCTCCACACCGTCCAGTGACCCTTTCCGAGATGTTATCAATCCTGCGCGCTAACACCGGTAGGGTTAGGGTTAGAACATGAATGAAATGATGTCCAGTGGTTTAAAGATATTTGCGGCTTTGTAACATTTAACCATAAAAGTCAGGTCTAAAAACATGAGAGGGGGTCTACGTCTCTGGTCTACGCCATATTAGGCATGATGTTTCCTTCTATGTGAGCTTGAATGCATTTACTGATATGTAACCATTACCAAAACTCACTCCATTCATGAATGTTGTTGTAATGGACATTCACCTCTTCAAAACTCTTCTGTAGTTCTGTGTGTTGATTCACAATCCCCTTCTTTTTTCTATTTAACCGAGCAGTGATTGGATGTTTTTTCACCTACAGCTGACATCTGTTGGCCGGAATTTCCACCTTCGTCAGAGCCGCCAGCGGTTCGTGGCGTCACTTCCGTTTATGTGCGGGCAGCAGAGGATGATGTTGCATGCTTTCGTTCTTTTTAAACACAGAAACTGTTTTGTTTACCTGTTTTGTAGCTACAGTTTCGCCGACGTCGGCGAAACTGTAGCTACAAAACAGGTAAACAAAACTGTTTCTGTGTTTAAAAAGAACGAAAGCATGGAATTAGAACCACGACACAGCAATAACACACCTAAGATGTTCAAAGAGGATGATGTCGCCCTCTGCTGTCCGCATCCTTCATGCTGATGACAGTCCCGTGTGTGATCCAACGTGGAGACACCGTCGTCTCTGGTCATGGTGTTGTGTATGCGTCTCCTTATCTCTATACCTTCCTTAATTCATCTTCTGTGTGTTTGTTGTTTGGTGTTTATGATCCGTGTGCTGTCCCAGTCCATTATGTGACTTTCTCTTCTGCTGATTTTTTCATAGAACTTCTGCTTCCTGTTTTGCTGCTCTTGTGTGCTTTTCTTTTGTTTCCTTCCCACTCTCTTGTTGATGTTGTTCGCGTGCTGAGTTGGCGTCCTGGTTCTCGAATGTGTGTTTTACTGCAGAGGTTACATGGGATTTCGTAGATGACACGGCACTTTAGTCCTGCTGGTATTTTGTCTTTTGGGTGCACCACTCTGCTCTTGACCGTCAGGTTGGGTTTAGCTGGTGTGTTAATGTTGTGTCTGTTCATCACTGTCCTTATGTTTCTGTTATGCCTTTGATGTAAGGAAGGGTTATTGCTGGTTCTGGTTCTGCTCCCTCTGTTGTCTTGGTTCTCCTTGGTGTTTATCGTTTTCCTTTCTTTAGTGCCCGTGTTGGGTATCTGCAGGTTTTTAGTGCGTTTTGTACGTGTTGGTCCTCCAGTTTGTGATCCAGTTCTTCTGTTATCATGCTAGCTCTGTGGTGTAGTGTTCTGATCACTGATCACTTGTGTATGGTGGGATGTTCTTATGTCCATAGTTGGTATTGATCTGTATGTGTTGGTGTCTGTTGTCTGGTTATTTTCATGTCCATGAATGCTACCAGGGTATCTGCAGGTTAAAGGGAGCCAAATTTAAGACTTTTTAAGTCCTTTTTTAAGGCCACTTTGACCAAATTTAAGCTATTTTTTAAATTTAATTTAAGCTATAATTTCCAGCTATTGCCTGGAACCGGTGCTAACCACGTCGTGAACGTGGGATTAACCATCCAGTTACCATTAAACTTGCACTTCCCCATGGTGCAAGCTCCCACTAGCTTAACCAGCTAATGTGCTCATCTAAAAATAGCCCCCTTTCACAAACCAACCGAATGTGTACGGTTCCGCTTACGCCAACATCGTACACAAAAAATGCTGAACACTAACTAGAAATTCACGAAAATTTTTTTAGAAATAAAAGAATCTTGTTTATTGGGTCTTTGGTCATTTAAGACCTTTGGAAACTGTGTTTAAGAATTATTTGTCATTTTTAAGGATTTTTAAGGCCTTAAATTTGGAAAAGCTAATTTAAGACTTTTTAAGACTTTTTAAGGACCCGCGGATACCCTGTGCTACGCTGGGGGGGCGGTTGTGATGGCTTCTTGTTCCAGGTTTTCCATGACGAAATCCCATGTACACAGAATGAATGCAACAAAGAAAATCACCTTATACTGCTCCTTTGGCCATTAGGGAATGATTGCAGTGCTTGGATAAGGGTGCTACTTTTTGTACCTAAATATGTGTTTTTTAACCTGTCCTGGCAGATGAAGCTGACAGAATGGTGAGTGCCAAAAACATGGTACGGCGTTTTACGTACTGAAGTGAACAGGCAGGGAGAAAAGAGACATACAACACCAACACTGAAAGAGAGGAAGGTGGGAATGAAGGGACAACAGTACAAAACAGAAAACCTTTACACAGACAGGACAAAACAGTGTTGTCATAAAAAATGTACAAGAATAAATTAATAGAAACTGGTAAATGATACTGTCCATATTTGTAGTAGTAGTAGTGTGTGTGTGTGTGAGCGTGCATCTATATTACATAGAATATGTTGGTGTGTGCAGGTCTACGCTGTGATTGTGCGTGCGTACCTTAATAAGTTGATAGAAGCGTCTGTAGCCATATACGGTTGCTGCTGTGCTGAAGTTCATCTGAACACAGAGACGGAAATCTTTCTGTTGCTTCATTTGCCACTAAAGTTCAAATGCTGTCGATCAAATGTATTCACATAACACATTGTTACGGCACAGCTTTAATTCTAGTTGAAGCTATCAAACCATTTTAGGCTGAAGCTGTGGTCTGTCCTTGAGCTTGTAGGGAGTCAGCATCGTGTCTATGTGGTGAATGACTCCATTACTTGCAGTGTAATCACTCTTCACTATCCTCGACACATTGTTGATCCAGACTGAACCCTGCAAAGACGAGGGGCACAAAGGACGCCATCAGATCCAACGATAACAACCAGGTGAGGCTGCAGGTGAACCAGAATGTTTTCATGTTACAAATGTTCACTTTAGGTTTTTAGTTAGTGTTAATGTGTCCTTGTTTATCTTTGTGTTCTGTCTTCAGTCTCCATGTACTATAACTCAGCCCACTTCATGAACCCTCTGGAGTACAATCAGCCCATCTGACAGGTTTTGCTGTTCACTTTTCTTTTCAACTCTATTTTGTTGTTTCTGCCTTGTTTGATATTCTTTTCAGCACAACCTCGCCTATGCAAATTTAGAGTCATTTCTTCATTTTGTCATACTGTATTAGAACACTGAACCTGAAAGTAAACAAAAATCTAAATTCACGTAGAAAAGATGACATGTTTATTGGAGGGAAAACCACAAACATTTGTAACGGACCATTTTCAGCACTCAGAATAAAACTACAGGGTGTTAGTAAAAAACAAAAAAGGTCAAATAATTATAAAGGTGTGATTTCCCTGAACTACCAAAAAGACCTGGTTTAGTCTTAGATCAAATTTCAAAAGATCAATTATACTGATAATTCATATTTATATGGAACGTCACATCTTATTGATCGTTCATTCAAAGTAACCACAAACGTCACGTTGCACAATAATGGCGAGCCAACCAGATGGTAAATCAAATTTCACACCTTTAGTAATAATTAGCTGTTTTAAAATCTCTTTGCTGGCTTAAGTCGCTGCTTAAGGCTCACTTTTACAACCAGACATTTTTAAATCCCTGACTTAGAAAATTTTATTAAGTGTCTTTTTATTGACTGTGATTATCTGCCTTGTTGTGCATTTTATTGTTGACTGTGTATTGTTTTATGTTGTGTTTTTACTTTTTATTCTGTACAGCACTTCGGTCGGCTGCCATGCCGTTTTAAAATGTGCTTTATAAATAAAGTTGGTATGGTTTGTATTAAAACAGGACGAGGCCTCCCGTCCATACTTTCATGAGCACTGACTCATCAAATGCAACCAAGTCTGATACCTGCTAAAGCTTTAAATAGCTCAAAAGATTGTTTTGATCTCAAAAAGGAGTGAATGGGTGTTTTTGTTCTTTATCCGTGTCCATACTTGTGGTAACTCAGGAGCCCAACGTTAGCCAAAGCTGCCTTAACCAGATGTGATTAGTCCGAGTTCATTCCTGTCCGACGCATAATTCCGGACGAAGCATTCAGTTTCACGGTTAGAAATGTCCTGATCCTTTCAGTTATGAAGCTGGTTCGGATCAGGATGCATGTTATCGCCACACACTTGTAGCGGAAATCCACATTTCATATTCTCAAATTAACTTTGATTGGATTAATGAGAAGGAGGACATTAAATTGTTATTTCACCTAAGGCTTTTATTTCCCTTCCCCTTCAACAGAAGTCATAAATTCCAGACTTCCTTTTCAGCATATCTGGTTTCAACTCCTACGACTCTCTCCCAGGGTCGTAAATTTTACCAATTGACTTGTGTCTCTCTCCTGTACCAATCGGAAAATCTCGGACGCATCAGAAACGAACCTGCTCTATATCAAAACTGTCACAGGCTGACCTCTCACCCAAGACCTGAGTACTCTAAAACTCTTCAGGGCATGTTCTGGAAGGTTCCAGAATTTAGTCTTTATAAAACTCTTTTCAGTTACAAACATAAATGTTTGTTTTGTGTTTTTTTCTTTTATGTTAAACCTCTGCTGTTTTTGTTTGACCAGTTAAAATTCATGCCAACAGTAATACAGTCAAGTTTTAAGACAGGAATTTAGTTATTTCCTGTTTAAAGTAATGATTTTTGATGCTTTATGTGGGTAATCTTGGTAAACTTTGATGCTTCAGACATTGTTGAAAAGGTTGAGTTTATTTGAAAGAGCCACAGTGTCATCCAGTGGTTAAGTGAAACACATGTGGACATGTCTAAGAAAAGGTCATAAAGGCCAGAGTTTAACCCGCGTGGCAGCAGAGCGAAGAACAAAAGACGCCTTAGCAAATCTCTGCCAGGCTCTCCATCTCGCCTAGCAACGCCGTCACTCTCAAAGTTTTTCAAGTCATTAGCGCTCCCAAGTTACAGTAGAACTCAGGGACAACTCTGTTTGTTTTTTTGATTTTAGACCTTCTACATCAAACCGGAAGTCGGTTTGGCCAGGTAAAAATTTCACAATAAGAGTTAAACTAATTTGGAGTAGTTTTTCTGATTCTGCTTTATTTTTGATTATTTTGGACCTGCGATCTGAACTTGACATTTTCTGTGCAGCAGAAGCACAGGAAACACAAAGTCAAGCCCCTGCAGCGGAACGTGCTCTCCTCAACTACACAGGTGACCGTCGACCGACTCGGGGGCCAAAAGCCTTCAGTTCAAGACGCCTCTTCACAAGAGCGAGGACTCCATGGCGGTCTGAGCCCTTTGGCCCTCCTCTGGCGAAGGGGAAAACAGATCTGTGCATCATTTAATTTGGCAGACTTTTTATGCTAAGCCCGTATAGTGAATTCAGATATTCACATTTATGGCGTGTGTTATTTCGATCCAAATCCACGGTAACTTTTAGGACTTGTCCTCATTTCTCTGCTGCAGCGAACTCTCATTTGCACACACACACACGCACACGCGCACACACGCACACACACGCGCGCACGCGCGCGCACACACACACACACACACACACACACACACACACACACACACACACACACAGCCACTTCACTTCAGATCAAGTGACCAATCCACTTTGTTCCTCATTATAACTTATCCCCAATTCTACTATAATCTGGTGTGTCACCCAACTTCCACTGTTATTACAGGTCAGTTTATTTCATAACACTGCCATAAAGCTTTGGGCTTAACCCTTTTCTTCATTCCATGCATGAAACTATAAGTTGTGTTTGGTTCATTTGTCATCTGTATTAACTGATGTTTGTAATAAACTCACAAAATGTAAATACAATCCTGATCATTTCCAACGATCTCGAGAATAGTCGGCGCATTCTGGCAAGAATTCATCCTTTAGATTTATCTGTGGTGTTAAATTTTAGACTGATTACATTGAACAAATCTGAATACCAAATTCATTTTTTCCAGGTTCTTTTTTTTTTAACAAAAACTGGTGGTGCCCTGATTGAACTAATATGAGGTTATAAACAACGGAACAAGTTGAATCTACACCACATTTGTTTATCTGGATCCAAGTCATATAGAGAGACCGCACCAGTGTGGACTATGGTGGTCCGTAAGACATGCTGTCAGGGGAAAGGTACGTCTATTTTAAGCTTGGTTACGTGACGTTTGACAGTATCAGTCCTAAAGGAGTTGACCAATGAGACGCCCAAGGTAAAGACCAACTCAAATGCATTAGCAAATTAGAGGAACTCAGAGAGGAAATGCTTCTCCCTGCTGAGGGTAACAGAGATTACAGAATTGGAAACTGTGAATTTCTGTACCTGTAGTAGCATGTGAGAGATGTCGGTGGTGGAGTGCCACATTCTCGTGTGGGTCAAGTTGGTACCCATTTCAGAAAGTATGTTAAAGGAACTTAACAGTTTCCTAGTGCATGCAATGTCGGGGTCAAACTGTAAGAAAATCTTTAGTGTGAATAGACTGTAGTTAGTCATTAACAGACCTGGGCTCTCCCAGAGCGTGATACCCGAAGAGTAACCAGGTTCACACAGTCACGGAAGAGAAGGCTGAGGAGGAGGCATAGCCACAGTGGACATCCCGCAGATGCACGCGACCAGCATAAGATCCTTTAATAGACCAGAAACCTGAAATTTTGGAGGATGACAACCGTAGACTGGCACAGGCGCTGTCTTTTGAGGGTTGGGCACAGGGGTGCGCTCTGGAGGACCCTCGGTCGATGCATAGGTGCAGCCAGAAAGATCAAAGTCAGCCATTAGTGGTACAGGGCAACCTTCGAATATCGGAATGATAGGCCTAAATCGCTCGAGCAGTTCTTCACCCAACATAAAAAGAAAATACTCGATGTCAGACACATACACCGGGCGTCTCACAGACATGCCACCCACTGAAACTTCAGGGAAAGCTACAGACGACAAGGTAATTGGATCTGGAGTTAAAGGATTCAAGTCCACAGCACAGGGTGTGAGCGTTAAGACACGACCCTGTCAAGCTGCAGCCAAGCAGACGCTCTCCCAAAGAGAACGAGACATGATGGTGAGGACCGAACCAGAGTTCAAGACAGCCTCACAGTCAAGCGATCCCTCAAGATTCACTGAGATGTGAGGTTTCTCCTTGGGACCTATTTGGGTGATATCACAGAGTAACTTTAGTGGAGGTTTGTATGGCGAGTAAGGATTACCTGACCTGCTGACAGGTGCATTGGATGCTCGAGATTTAGAGGTAATGGAAGCGACCACACCAGACCTCACTGGGGTCACAGGACGCACTGTTGAGGCATGTTTAACTTTTGGAAGACTTGTCATTGCAACTGAGTCATGTGCAGGTTCAACAGGTGCAGTGGGATGTGCACTCTGTTCTGCAGAAGAGAGGAGTAGAACTCTGTTAGTCTTTGATAGGTCTTCATCCAAAACACAAAGGGCATGTTTTAATGCTTCGTGCATGGTCTCGGGAGGCCTGCTACCGGACTCAGCTCTTGACCTCAGAGCAGCAGGGCTGTGGTCAGCACGGTCGCGGCACGGTGCATAATGGTTAGGGCGGCGGTCATCCGGGTGGGACAACCCCTCTCTTTTGAGACTCCATCCATGAGCACCAACGTGCAGAACATGGGCTCCTTTTAGTACTCACTGAATCATTAGCAGAGGGGGAGTGTTTGAACCGAGAAGGTTTCGTATCCTCCATCCCCGGATACTGCTTCGTGGACTGTGACTTTGGAGATGACAGAGCCAGTGGCGGCTCCAGAAATGTTTTTCTGCAGGTGCTATGAAGGAGCTAGTCTTTTTATTGAGGGTGCTTTGGAGGAAGTGGTCATGCGTACCTATTGTTCAGATACACATGCATGC